ATCCTCAGAGTGAATGACCCCATGTTTATTCGCTTGGTCTATTCGAAGCCCCCTTTGTTGTTCTATGCTCAAGGTGACTTCCATTTTCATCAGCGTTTGGCCAGGGCATTGACCTTTACTTGATGTCTATTTGCTAACCCACAGATGCATTTTTCATTGCCCAATGGATTGTAAACTTCTCCATCCTGTGCCTGCAACATCATGCTTTATTTGGGTATCTTTTCATTCATGACTTGTCTTCTTTATTTTCAGATTTAAAAGAAGAGATTTAATTCAGCACCTTGAGAGGGAATTAGATAAAATAGATTCTGGTCATTTTCTCAAGAAAGATCATTCCACCCCAAATGCCTACTCCTGTTCTTTCAATGGTAGATGAAGAACAAGACCAGGTTGGTCTTTTCTAGAATGGAAGAGGATCCTGCTTATGCCCCCTTCATGTGTGTGTTACTAGAATTGCCTTCCAGAGACTTTGAGAAGATAGTGGAGCTGCTTCATGTTATAATTGCTGCTAGTAAAAGGTGGTGTTTTGCCCTAATAGTTCTTTGAAAGGTTAAGTTCTGTTTGCTTCTTTTCCTACCATAGGTGAGAGATTAAATTAGCATGTTATGTTATAATCCTTGTTTCTGCATATGTCATTGCTGACTTATTATTTTCTCCTTGATTCCCTTTGCTCCAAGACTGCATCTCAGCTGGTCATGGTGCTTGTCCTGGGGTTGGAGTGACTACTCCATTGCTGACATATCTGAACCATTAGATGTCCTGCCTGATGGGACTGTTGTAATTTTCCATGACATTTAGTTACAAAATGTGAGCATATTAGGAAAGGCTTTCAACACTCAGCACATACTTTTCCTTAGCCATTGTGTAGTAGCAACCAATTTTCTTTGATAGTCAGGTTACATCATTCCAGACCATTGAGGAGACCCAATTTTGCTCATTGACAGACATGATGAGCAATCCCATGTGGCTGGCTGGCAGTCCCAATTTCCATTTCAACGAGTCATTTTTGGGTCCCCTGTTGAAAATATTTCTCCATTTGGAACAAAGACCCGTGGTCTAGCAAAGCAGAAATTGGGACAGAAAACAAAATTTTGCTACTGGGTAGGCAGGAATAAAAGTGAGAATTCCTCTCATTGCCATTATCTTCATTGCTGAAGACATGTACATGGCTATGGAAGAAAAACTGACATACTGGACACTGAGATAGAGCATCGCCACCCTCTAGATAATATTGCCTCAGTCTCAAAAGGCACAGACACCAAACTAGAACTATGACTGTGGTTTCAACGAGTCACTCAACTATTGTATTGAACCAACCAGCTCAGGGTAGTGGGGAACCTAGTAAGACCAGTGAAATCCATTAGCAAAAGCCCATTCCTGAATTTCATTTCTCAAAGTTTGGTCCAGAGACTCCCTGGGGGCCTTGGAAACAGTTGTTGATGCCACCCCACGAGTCAGAGGCGGCACTAAGAATGAGCCCAACGCATAGGGCCACATTCCCCAGAAAGCACACAGCTCCCCCTCACCCACAGCCCCACAGCACCCAAGAAAGAGTTGGCCCTGAGGCTTAGGGCAGCTGAGGAAGAGCACCCTGAGGACGGGGAGAAAACACCCCGTGATAAGCATCCCAGGACAGAGAAACAGCCCTCAAGGAAAAGCTCCCTCAGCCGTGCTGACAACTGTACCCCGAAAGTCGCCAGCAGAACTGAGCTGAGGCCACGTGGCAGAACAGCTCTCCCCGACCTGGCAGGGGTGAGCGGCCCAAGGAAAATGCCTCCTCTGCTGAGATCAGCCCCGAGCCAGCGGGCCCACCGAGCTCAGGTCATGTACTGCACCCCGGACGGATGCACCCCAGGGAGAGACCCCTCTGGGCCACAGGTCACCAGGGAAGAGAACTCCTCCCCCAGGTGTTGAACTCCTCACCTGCTTGAGACAGCCTGAGCGCAGCTCACAAAATGGTGGTGGAGTTGTGCCTCATCCGTGGAATGAACTAGAAGAGCACGCTCTGGGCCGCACTGGGAACGTGCTTTCTAGGGTGGGGGGGGGGGGCTGGGCCTGTGCACGTGGGGAGGTGTCTTCCCCTCGAGCTTGGATGTGCTGCTGCCTGAGAGGGGGTCGGGGAAGCTGCAGCCACACTGCCCTGCAGCAGCGTGAGGACCATGGAGAAGCTGGCTGGGTGTGGAACCCATGCTTGGCAGTCTGGCACCCCGTCGCCCGAGCCCTAGGTGCCTGCAACAGGAGGCCACACTTGTCCCCTTCGCGCTCTCTGGCGCCCTCCATAGACAAACTTCAGTCTCAACCACCACAAGAAAAAAATAAAGGACTGAGCATTTTCACAGAGGACAAAAGGGTGAATTTGGAGCGGACAAGCAATATAACTGTATATTTTATATGGTCTCTTTTATAAAGTGTAGCCAGTATACTTTACTTACAGATTAAAAGAGAGTAATAAAACCATCCCAATGAATAAAGAGGACGCATGGGACCAAAATAACAACTACTCTGATGAAACATTTAGAAGCCATTTGTTAAGAGGAGGGCTCTCCAGAAAGTCATGGGGCACATTCTCAGTAGGGTACACCTGAGAAGTAGTCCCAGAAACTCAGAGCCACAACAGGCTGCCCACAGTTCTCCCACACTACACGAATTCCTACCTTGCACCTTCAGAGAGCTAAAAGGCTGTTCCCACAGAGCCAGCTCTCAGAGGTCTCATTATGGACAAGTCCTGAGAACCGTGTTTCACAGGAGTCACCAGGCAAGTCAACTAACGACAATTGTTCGGGACTGCGGATGGCTGGGAGCTCCAGCCAGTGTCTCCCCCTTCTTGGCTGATGACCTCCTGCTGTTCAGAGCAACTGTCTGTATGAGGTCACACATTGGCTTTAAGGCTTCCCAGGAGCTGAAGATCCGGGTCAGTTAGTTCCAGTGAAAACGTCCCAAAGCTCATTGTTGCTACCATGATCCAGCCATTCTTTCTTGAATCAACACTCTTCAGCTCGTGGCAAGCATTTGGGGAAACCCCAGGCTGCTGAAAACCTTGGACATGCCTTCCCAGTGTCCTCACTTGTTTTCTCAAGAGTGGGTTTCCCTGGAACTTCCTGCACCCACCCTCAAGTGTCTCTTCACACATGCCACTATTTCCACTGAGGATTAGTCCAGTGAACCAGACTGGAAATTAACCTGTTCCTGGTTTTCTTCTGGAAGAAGAGAATAGGTGGGGTCTGTATGTTGTGAATTGTTACCTCTAACCTAGACCTCACCTGCTACTTCTCAAGCCAACTGGTCTCAGTGCAATCCACCTGAGGACCTGGAAGATTCAGAGAGCTTATTCATTTTTTATTTTGTGTAACAATTTGCTGAAATTCAAAGGCTTAAAACCAGTTACCCCAAGTGGCTCCATTTGGTATTTGTTATTGGAAGTTCTGTAGCTCATCAGTCTGGATGGTTTATATGTGTGTGGGTGCAGGTGTGTGTGGGTGTATGTAGAACTGGGGTGTAAACCAGAGATGGGTGGGGGAGAGGATTTGCCAGAGATAGAGTGGGGTGCAGAACAGGCAGGTCTGCTGAAATACACTGCTTAGGGGAACAGCAGGCAAGACAGGAGAGGTCTGCATGCTTCCTGGCTGGGGATTGAACTCAGGCTGTGGTGGTGATAACACTGAGACTTAAACCCTAGGCCATTAGGGAGGCCCAAGTCTGGGTGGTTTTGATGTGATTCTTTGCTTTGGGTCTTCACAGGCTGAAATTAGGATTTTAGCCACCCTGTGTTCTCCTCTGTAAGATGGAGTATGGAATGTGCTTCTACTTCACTGTGGGGTGGGGGTGAGCAGTGACACTGAAGTCCTTGATTTTCTGCTGGCTGTTAGCTAGGGCTCCTCACCCCTTCCAGGCCACTGTCAGGCCTTTTCATGAGGACCTCTCCATTTTCTAGCCAGCAACCACACAGCACCAGGTGCTTCCAATAATGCACTATATGAGAGGAACCCAGCCATCTTAGCACTGGGAGCCTCCACTGGGCAGCAACAGTGTCTTTTCACCCTGTTGCTCCTCCACAAGTCTGTTGTGGCATTTGGTCCTGAGAGCCTTCCCACAGTGTACTTCCTGGAATTGACCAATCAGGTGTGAGCTGTGAGCTGATTGGTTCTAAGTGGTTCAATCAGTCACAGGATTGAAAAATGATCCAATCAGACTTGTGGGTGGGGCACCCTGAAAGAGGATATAAGCCAGGGTTGGCAGGAGCTGAGACTCAAAGATGGCTCCAGCCCCTGACCAGAGGAGACAGTTCCAGCCTCCAAAGGAAGAAGAAAGAATGGGAAGACTCCCTTCCTGGCTTCCAAAGATATCTGCAACGTCACCTTTGTCCTGTAACTTAATGATAAAAGTGACATCACACTACAATGGTCTTGGGACCATCTTAGAATTCTTCCAAGAAGCAGAGATGATCATGGAGCAGGAAGAGTTTGGGGCCACTTCCTCACAAAAAGTACTGGGACCTCAGCACCTGCTTGAGTCTCACCTTGAATAGAATATTGCATTTGATAATGGGGCACCTCTGTGCATTCCCACTGCCGTTATTTGAAGGGCCAGAAAACACGCAGGGTGGGATGTGCAGCTCAAGTGGCGTGGGGACTTGGTGCCCCATGGCCACATGTTCTGGCTCAACCAAGGCACTTGCTAAGCCAAGTGCTTCTCAGTGGACCGGTGTTTTCAGTGTTTCTGGGGAGGGATGGATCCCTACCTCTTTAGAGTACCCTACTCTGCCATTTCTAGCAATATTACTCAATTCTGTGAGTGGTATTTTGGAAGTTTCAATCCTTAGGTTAACATTTTAATATGTTCAACACTTTTTTTCTGGAAAGGAAGAACTTATCACAAGAAACACAAAACGAGAAACTTCTCTAGCATTAAGGAACTTGTGAAAATCAATAAAATGATTTATTTTATATATGCAAAGTCCCAATCTTTGTACATGTAATTTTTTTTGCAAATTAATACAAACATAACAATACTGATCCATATAAACCTTTGTATAAACATTAAAGGAAATATATACATGATTTTTTTTTTCTTTTGGTGCTTCCAAAGCACAGAAGGTACAAGTCCAGCGGAAGACTTTCTGTCATCACAAACAAGAATAAATGTCAGGGGTGGGGGCGACCTCAGGTTCCACTTGTAATGTCTCTAGACAAAATAGAAGAGTTGGAGGTAGATCGTTTGGTCCCCTCCCACAGAGAAATAAGTTACCCCAATAGCAGCTTTCTTACTCTTTGATTCAGACTATCCTGAATATTGCATGGTTTAGAAGGCACAACTAGGAACTGTTGAAACTTTGTTCAGCACATGCAAATGACCGACTGAATTCTATTTTTTCTGCAGGACATAGTCAGCACTACCTGTGCCCTGGAAATGCCCAGAACAGCAAAGTTCAGAGTGCACTCTTATCGCCTGTGGTGGGGGCAGCAGTGTTCACTGAATTCAACCTGCTGAATTAGTAACATCACCATCACCTTCCTCTACTGGGAAGAGAAACAACAAAACAAAAATTGATACCTTCAAAAAAAACTTCTAGGACAAAAGCCCCGATTTTACTGCCAGAGAATCATAAAATCAAAAACTCCACAGCTTTCCTGTGGTCGCTGGAAGGCAAGTCCCTTGACTGAAGCATTCCAGGAAGCTTCAACAACATTCCACTCCATGCTATAGCACAGACAACTTGTCTTTTTTTCTCCTTGGTCAGTATGTTAACATGATGATCTGCTGTTGATGTGATTTACATTGTTGGGAAGATAGTGGGAATCTATTTTTTCTAGTAGCTTCTCAAGGTACTGAATTAAGACTCGTCTTTTAAACCTAAAAGTAAAGAGAGATTTTATTAACTAAAAGACATTTAAAGCACTTAGGCTGTGCAAAGCACTGTGTGTGTGTGAGTGTGTGTGTGAGGGGGAGGGGTATGAAGGAGAACTGACAATCTACATGGGAATAAAAATGTGTCCTCCGCAAAGACAGGGCTTGGCAAATACAATGCTAGCCAAGGAGCCGAGCCCACCTCAGACTGATGAGGCTAGAAGGCACCCTGGATTTGGTCTAATTCAGATCATATCAGCCAAAATGCCTCTGGAGACAGCTGTAACTGGGAGGGAAGGTGTGGGTGTGAGAAAATCAAGGCCAAGTCTATTCCTCCCCATGTCTTGCATTGGGCCTACCGCTGTAAGCTTCTCTTTACACCGACCTTGCAGCTTCCTTGATGGTAAATTCAACAAATTGTTTCTTGACTGCAAGAGATCCTTGTACTCCTTCAAGCAAAATGAAAATTCTTTCATACTCTGGAGATATGAAAAAAAAACAACTTAATAATTTTCAAAAATAATGACTGGGAGGCCCTCCCTGGTGGCGCAGCGGGTTAAAGCACTGCACTAAGAAGCTGAAACCACTTCCACATGAGTTCGATTCCCGCCTGCCCCAGAGGTGACCACATGGCGTGGCAGACCTCTCCTGACCCGCCCGCTGCTCCCCTCAGCAGTGTACTTTGTCGATCTGCCTGTTCTGCTCCCCACTCTGTCCCTGGTGAACCCTCTCACCCTCCAGCATCTCTGGCCTGTACCCCAGTTCTGTATGAATAAATAAATAAATCTTTAAAAAAAATAATGACTGGGAAATAAAATTCAATCTTCATACATCCTTGAGAATCATTCTTAGTAGGTAGAAAGTTAGATATAGCTTGTATTTTAAATATTCAAATCAAGACATCTACACATACATACTAAGGAAATGTTTTAAATACTAATGACCTCATCCCAATCTCTGAAACCCATGAATGAGTTATCTTCTATGGTAAATGGAACTTTATTTTGCAGTTGTAATGAAGTCATATTCAGTCACAGCTCTTCAGATGGGACGTTATCCAGGTCTATGCTTGTAGGTCCAATGTAATCACAAACATCCCTCCTTATCAGAGGGAGACAGCAAAGTTAGGGTCAGAGACAAAGAATGGTAAGGATGGGAGCAGAGGTTAGAGAGCAGTTGCTAAGGGGCTTGACAGTTGAGCAACAGGCCATGAGTTAAAGAATACAGGTCGCCTCTAGGTGCTGGAAAAGCCCGGAAAACAGATTCTCCCTAGAACATCTAAAAAGCAACACTGCCCTGCTAACACTTTCATTTTAGCTGACTGGAAAGTATTTCAGAATTCTGACTTCCACCAATGTAAGCTAAAAATTTGTGTTGTTTTAAGTCATGAAATCTGTGGTAACTTGTTACAGCAAAAGGCAATTTATAACAAGTAGGAGAAAGGAGAGAAACCTGTAGTAGTCTTTTTAGTTAATGCAAGAGGAATTACTTTAAGTTATTTGAAAACCCACTAACTAGTTCCCAAAATATGCCGCAGTAGACAGCTTGAATCTATTCTCAATTGCAGAAGGAGAGGACAGGTGTTCTTTCACTACTTACTTCGTCCAAATTTTCGAACTTCCTTCATTAACTGATGTTTTATATCAGCATTGATTCCTTGCGCCATAGCAGGAGTTATTTGCAATGTATTTGGCACAGTTCTCAAAGCAGATGTTGTGGAGACTTTTCGTTCATCTGCAGAGACACTGCAGTTTTTGGTTCCTCCTCCAAGTGCATTACTACCAGGTCTGTGAATCAGGCCATCTTTCCTGAGGTTAGCGAAGTCGTCAGGCAGGAAATCCAGTTGATTGGGTGGAATACCATCTCCTGCCATAGTCACGGGCTCTGGTGCAGCAGCAGGTTTTGACAAGAAGCCATCAGGTGGGATTTGACCATTTTCCATCTTCTCTTCATGGACTTCATGAGTGACAGTAACATCTGGAAATCAAATTGAGAAGTTGAGCTGCCAGGTAGGTGCATGACAGCAACCCCACAGGTAGATTCTGGTGCACATCAGCTTTTAAGTAATCACTTCAGAAAGCAAAAAGGATGTGGCAGATAAAGTCTGAGACCGTCAAATTGAGCCCAGGAAAGACACTACAACCCTTTCTGCTCCACGGCACTATGAATACACATGGAAGCCAAGGAAGACAAACAGCTCACAAAGAGTCTCGGATCTCTGACTCGGTTTCGTACCCACTGGTTGTGCCTTATAAGCTGGAAAACAGCAAGTCCCACTTGGTATCATGATTTCCGTAATTTGCTTATAAAATATCATGCCTTGGTGATGGCACACGGGTGACTTGGTGATGGGAAACCCGTGGGGATTACAGTTGAGATGGGGGGAAAAAATGTACAAAATGATGTAAAAGTAAACTTTTGTAAAATAAAATATCATGCCTCACTGAACTTGATGCCAGAGTAGATGGCCCCCCTCAACCTCATTCTTCTCTACCTCAACAGCTGGCCATCAGGTTGGAAGGTTCTACAAGCATTCCATCACCAAAAATCCCTGCCAGCATGCGATTATCCTCACCCCTCTTCTGTCCCCAAAAAATGGATCTCTTTTCACTGCCAGTCTTATACCTCTACTGGGCTAACTCATCCTCCTCTGTGCCAGCACTGAGCCAGGAACTGGGGGTCGGCAGTGAACAAGACAAACAGGAGCCAGCCCTACCCTTACGGCACTTCCACTCTTGTGGGGACGTCAGGCAGCAAGGGCAATACCCACTGAGCAAGTAGTTGAATTCGTGTTAGGAAAGCAGTGAGCAGTGAGGTGGCAGACAGTGGGGCGGGGGCTCCATGAACTGTGCGGCCAGGCAGGGCCCCCGAAGGGGGTGTCCTGAGGGCAGAATCTAGAGGAGAAAGAGCTGGCCCTGTGTACACGGTGAGGAAGAAACCCAGGCTGTGGGCAGGGCTAGGGCAGGCCCATAGGAAGGGCTGAGCAGGGACCAGAAGGGACAGGGGCAGAGAGAGCAGCCAGGAGACCCAGGGTGGCAGGCCCACGTCGCACAGCGCTCGCAGAGCGTGGCCGGGAGTTCGGACTCTGTGGTAAATGCACGGGAGAGCTTGAGGGGCTGTGAGGGCGGACATGGGAGGATCAGAACTCCATGTCCACGTGATCACTCTGGCTGCAGGCAGAAAACGGTTAGGCAGGAACAGGAGTAGGAAGCAGGGTGGTAAGGTAAGAAGCTCTTCCAGTAGTTTGGTGATAAAGTAAAAATGAAAATCAACAATTCTAAACCAGAGACCTTCTATGGGGTGGAGAGGGGAATAGGACCCAAACTGGGGTGGGAAGAGAGCACGGGACTATGGCGATGGCACATGGATGAGCTGGTGGTGGGAAGTCACGGGGATTCCAACTGAGATGGAAAAATGTACAAAATGAAGAGTGACATAAAATAAATAAATAAAAAAGAAAAGAAATGATGGCACCATGGTGGGATACAGAAAGTATAGCGGTTGTCAAACTGCCTGGATTTGCTGCTAAGAGATGGAAGTGTGAGAAGAATAACAGATACATCAAGTTGACTCAAGTTTTTTCAGCTGAACCACTGGGTAACTAACAGTGCCAGGGGTGTGCAGGCCCAACTGCTTGCTGGAGTGGATTGTGTCAATGTTTCCTGTCTCTAGCTCAACAGCCTCATGCTGATAGCCTGGCACTGACAATGTTGACATTATTTCCGCTGTGGGTATCGGAAAACACTATACTACGACCCGCCTTCCCACCCCCACACTCACGAACAGCAGGCTGTTTCCAGCTTTACCAGCACACCACTCACTGGTGTGAGTGGCACAGGGCAAGGAGAGCTCTCTGGGCAGGCAGAGGTCAGAGGGTCAGATGCAACATATGAAATCTACTGAGTTTTCTGTGTCTACAGACGCCTAAGTCAGCTAAATGGGAGTCTCACATTTGGAGCAAACTGTAGTCTACAGGTAAACATCCAAATTGTTGAAATGGAAACCTATTTAAAGTCCCAAGAGCACCTGGGATTACTAAAGTGTGCAGTGAATAGAGAGGGTCCAGGATTGAACTTTGGGGTCCTACTCTTTAGAATGGAAAGGAGGGGAGCAGTCAGGAAACAAGCATGAAAAGGAATCCTTTTTAAAGGGAAACACATGAGTTTGAGGTGTCAGGAAACCCAAGAAAGTTCCCATGGGAGAGGGAGGAGACCACTGTGTTGAATGATGCAATGAGGCAAGGCAGCTTGCTGCACACTGGGGCCTTGAGGAGACCTGTTTGTTTCGTGGGTGGAGGAGGCAGAGGTGGGCTACACTGGGCCACGCATGAACGGGAGGTAGGACACAGGCAGCAAACACACACTCGCCCTTGGCCCGAGCCATCCCCTGCTGCTTTATCCCTCTGATTCTCACCGCCACCCTCAGTGGTTGCACCTCATTATGCCTTGGCCTGACTGGCAAAGCAACATGCCCATATTGCTGCCTTTCTTCATCTTGTATGAATTACTATGCCCGGATTGATCTCGACATGGCTCTTTACAGATTGAGATCCTTGAAAAAAGCGTTATTGTTCCTACCACACTGATGATTTAATACTAGTGTACTTATTGAGAGAAATTAAACAGAAGAGAAATAAACCAAAGGAAAACAAAACTGTTCAGTGTCTTAGTCTTCTAGGAGCCATAAGGCAACCGTAACTACTACTCTATACCTGTATGTACAAGGGTGGGTTTTATGAGTGTTGGATAAGCTGGGAACCACAAGGCTGAGGGTGGTCCCTGTCTGCCCACATGGTTAGTTACAGTAGGTGGTGTTTGTGCTTTCCTCAACAGCAGGGACATACTCCGCCTTCTCTTAGGTGACACAGGACTGCTGGATTCTCCAGGACGTTTGATTTTATTTTGTGGCCCTGCTACAAACTCATCCGCTTCATCAATCATCATTCCCTAGAAAACATCAATGAACATAATTCATTAAAGACAGAAGTCTAACTATGGCAAATTTGTAAGCTCGTCTCATATGCCTATACGATCATGCAGTAATATGGCATCACCAATATAGGTCTTCATCATGGACCAAATTTTCACACAGTCTCTGTTCTTGGAGAATGCCACTCAATTTTAATCCAGCCTAAGTGGAACAAGGAGGAAACTAAAACATAAGATGTTGTTCAAGGTCAAACATAGTATAATTATGCTTCAGGAATGAGCAACTTTCATCAACCAAAATGGGAATAGTTTTCACCTGCAATCTGAAAAGAAAGCATTTCTCTGAAACTTTGGTGAAGTGAAGTGGCATAAAGTGAAGCAATTATCATTCATCTATATGGGAGAAAATTGTGAGCATTCTAGCCTCAAAAAATAACCTACCAAATAATGCATACAACCTAAAATAACACTAACATCGAGTAAAAGCGAGAATGCTATGATAAATACGAGCCTGTGAAAACTAGTTCCCCCGGAAGGACCTTGAAGCTCGGGTCACTATGCGCTGCTCAGGACACCTGCTGCCGCTGCACTGGCTGTCGCAAAAAAACATGCTGAAGACTGGTTTTACTTCTGTCACAAAATCAGAAATCTTTGTGTTTGTTACTGAAGAAAGGTACTAATGTAGGTCTTTTGTGAAAGGAAAGTGGCATATAACATGAACTTTTGAAAAACAGGATACATGTACCTGTTTTTTCTAATGCCAATAAATCCACAATGGATTTCTGCTTTTATAACAAAGGGTGAAAAGTAAAAACTAGCACTCAGTGTTGGTTTTGCAGCAGCTTATCTAGAGAAAGCATGCACCTCTACAGTGAGTGGTAAGGTCAAAATGCAACCCTGAGAACTACTTTGTACCAGCTGTGTATGATAAATACATACCTTCCAACTTTTCTATATGTTAGTGTGATTTCAGGCGTTATGTGTTATTTGGTATGATTTGGTGTATTATTTTGGGGTCTGAGAATGTTTTCCCTTATAAATTAATGGTAATTGCATCTTTGCTTTAGAACATTTCAGCACAGAAAAGGTTTCATAGGGTGGCTCTGCTTTTGAATAGGAAGTAAATCTATAGAAATGTCAGTGGTTTTTAAAAGCCAAGTGTCTTAACGCAAACTTTTGAACATCAAGCGGTACCTGTAAACCCATAGTTACGTTTCAAAGTACAAAACATCTTGTATCAACTCATTGTCCTTTTGTGTTTAAATTCACCATAATGAAATATTATCACAGTACAGAATGCTATATGTATATGGAAAATTTAATTCCTCCAATGGCAAACTTACAGAAACTCAGATATGCTTATGTTGGTGCTTGTCCACCTCGGTGGACAGAAATAAGGGGGCTTTTCATTCTTGGGGTAGATAAAAGATGAGACTCAGAGCTATAGATTAACTATAAAGTCGTTCTCATTCAAGGATAACCCAAGAATATGAGTGTCCATTATCTGAATAAAATCATGATAAATGACTTTTCCGAAGCATTTGTTTTTCTCATAAAGAAAACAGTGCAGAAAGGGGAAAATTTAACCACTGTGCATTTTACTACATATCAGGTAATGTTCTAAACACACATATACTAAGCCAATATTCTACAGGGCTCTACATAGTTTTAACCATTATAAATAATTAGTGTTATACATAATGACGCTAAAATACAAAAAGATGAGGAAAAATGGATTGGGTTGAGACAGAATACCTTTCAATCTAGTTTTGATACAGAGCAGATTATATATGGTCTAAACCTTAATACCAATGAACCTTAATACCAATGAGCTCCTCCTTACTTATCTCTGTGCTGAAATGGTCAAGTCAGTATCTCTCTCTCTCTCTCTCTCACACACACACAGACACACATTTCGATATTTAGATCTCTAGTAGGATAATCCCTATAAAGCAATATCACATTCAAGAGGAACATTCATCACTATCTAGATAGAGCACTAGAGATCTGAATAATAGAAACTGGAAATAAATGGTGATATCAATATTAAAGAAATTAATGTTGGGAGTAAGAGTGAATACAGACTTTGAAATTGCAAAGATGTAGGATTTTTTATTAGCTGTGCCTTTCAGGGTAAGATAATTGACTATTGAGGGCTTTAGTTTCCTCTTATAAATGAAAAAGCAATATTCATCTTGCAGAATGGTTGCAAGCATTAAATGTGATCATTTAAACATATGAACTATGACTAGGTATTCAATAAGTGTCAGTTATCATTTTGTTCAACCAACACACACTTGCATCAGGGGGCTAACACTTTCTGTACACAAACAGCCCTGGAGTTTTAGTTTACCTTTTAGACAAACAGAAGGAGAACATTTGAATTACAGTCGTCTGTTCAAGAAGAAAATAATTATAGCAAAACATCACAATTTAGACAGACAGAGAAACAGGTATACCTTCTTATCTTGTTTAAATGGGTTGCCAAAAGTATGCAGCCTTTTCGGTTGATCTGGATCAATTTCTCGAAGCGGAGAAGCCAATGTCTTTAGATATTCCTGGTAGTTGCCCATCTGTGCTACTGGCACACTATGAAGTGAATCTGAAAAATCACCAAGAAAGACACAGATGTCATGGTGGCTGAAGGGCATGATCCTTTCGAGAGGACATGATCACAGACCGATTTAGTGATGTGTATCTTGGCATCTAACGAAGTCTAATATCTCAAATCTAGCATACTAAGATTTGAAATGATCTCTTTATCCCACTTATTACTCAGTCCACTATCACTGCTGCCTACAAACTCAAATTGCCAGGCCAAGAACGTCTCCTTCACCCTCATCCTTCAAATCTAGCCTAGGTTTCACGGTGTTCTCTTACCATCCAGAGAACCTTGGTTCGTGGCCCTTACTTACCCTCTTGAGAGTTTGATTAAATTTTCAGGTTCTCGGGGCCTCCCTGGTGGCACAAGGGATTAAATAGAGGCACTGTGAAGCAGCCACTGTAGCACAAGTTTGATCCCCAGCCAGGGAGCTGACCCACATGGCACAGCAGACCTCTCCTGTCTCCCCGCTGCTCCCCTTAACAGCATATTTCAGTCTGCCTGCTCTGCTCTCCACTTCACCCATTGCACCTCTTGCTTGTACCCCAGTTCTTGTATACATAAATACATAAATCTTTCTAAAAATTAATCTATACGTTTCGGAAATTGGTCAGGCTAACATTTTCTCATGTTAATGGACAAATGATCCTTTTTAAAGTTATCAACATGGAATAAATGGAAACTGTAAACCACCACCAATTATCCTAAATACTTTCAGCTTCATTCTTTTCGTGTAAATGAGGAAATACTGATTGAATGCATTAGGTGCATCAATTTCCAAAATCTGAAAGACCTAGTGTCTTGTACTTTCCAATTTCCCATACTGGGCAAACTACTAAAATGCTCACTCTTAGTTTCTATATTCATAAAAAGGCATCAAAATCATATCTAGGTCCCTCCCTGGTGGTGCAGTGAGTTAAAGCACCACATTATAAAGCTCTCTGAAGCCACTACAGCACAAGTTCGATCCCCTGCCAGGGAACTGACCCACATGGTACAGCAGACCTCTCCTGACTCGCCTGCTGCTCCCCTCAGCAGTGTATTTCAGTAGACCTGCCTGTTTTGCTCCCCATTCTATCTCTGGTGAATCCTCTCACCCACCACACTACTGGCCTGTACCCCATTTCTGTATGCATAAATAAATGTTAAAAAAATAATGTCTAGCTCATGGGGTGATTTTGAGGATCATGGGAACTAAAACATGGGGAGTGTAATAAGTCCTGATTAACACATGCTTCCCTCTAAGCCCAAGAACAATAAAATTGTACCTGGGTAGATCTAGAAAGTCCCCATAATCAGTATTCTGAACATTAAAGTATTACAAAGAAAACCTATTCATAATGCAATAAACACTTCATATAAGTCAGGGTTGACATTTTCCTAATCAACAAAAAGTAATTTTTTGTTCATTTACCTTCATCTTGTCCAACAATAAATTTGTGTGTTTTCAGCAAATTGGATCTCATTCTTGTTAGCTGATCTAAAAGACCTCGGCGTGGAATATCATAAGCATTTCTGTATGTCTGAGGATTGAAATTCTGCTTTAAATAAAACAGATAATTTCAGTTACTCCTGAGGTTTTCATTTCTGGATCCATGTTTGCCCTCTTAAAATCTTAGTGAAGAGCGTGACATGCGATATAACCAAGGCCTGTAGGGTTTTCCCACTGGGAAATCTGCCTTCACTGGCATTGTCCTGAATTCTAATACCGGTCGAGCATTAACGCCACTGGGAATATCGTTTTTCAAGTGTCACAGAAAACACCAAGGCCGGAGACTCACACCTGTGGCAGGCAGCCCAGCGGGCCACTACTTGGGGTCGGGAAGGAGTCCCCCTGCAGCTCTGCTCCCAGCCTGGAACTCGGGCTACTGAGGGAGGGAGGAAGGGAGAGCAGCCTGCTGAGGGCTGCAAGGGCGGTGAGGGAGGGCTCTACCGGCCTTGAGGAGGAGGGGCGGGCGGCCTCCAGCCAGCCTCAGAGTAGGCCTCCTTCCAGCCCGCCCTGGGCCTGACCGGTACAGCCCAGGGCTGGGGTGTTGGGGCGTGCCCTTCTGCCCAACTGGACCTCCCATGGGGACACCCTGTTGCCCGAGGTCACCGTTGAGCCAGCGGCCCCTTCCCCCTCCTGCCCCAGTCAGGCTCTGCACCCACTCCCCGCTCAGATGTGCCTCCTCAGGCCTCCTCCCTCCCCTCCTCTCTGGGGTACAGGGCCCCGAGGGGTGGTCCAAGGCTCCCCCTGCCTCCTGGGCCGCTGCTCCCCTTTATCTTGGGCATTATTCTCCCAAACATAGTTTGTACATTTAGTTTTTTTATTGTTATCTGCTGGCAGAACAATTGGTCCATTAATAACGCTAAGTCCAAATCATGATGGTAATTATTTAAAAACTAAAGTAATAGGAAAGACATAAATGTATCAGTCAAGATCCAACAAATACAAACTGTTAATGGCACAAGTTACCTTGTTTAAGAGCCCTACTTGGAAGCCAGCAAATTCTTTGGTATTCAATTCTGTCAGTCTCGATGGAGTTTCCCCTATGATTTCTTTCAATAATTTTCTAAAATTTTTATTGTGAGTTAAGGACATGCCACCTCCAGAATGATTTTTCACTTTGATTCCAATTTCCTGGGGAGGTTTCTTCCCCACTGATGCTAGTATTCGTTCTGACTCTAGTTTGGTCTAAAATGAAAGTACATAGTATGTTACGGAAAGATCTAAATTACCACTGCTGTTTTTCTACTTAAGAAAGATAATACTTTAAGAACCCCACAGAACAATTTTCAATTTCAAATCACAGAAAAACGGTAACTAAATATTTTCCTGTGTTTCTTTGTACTACCACAGCAAACAGACAGAGGGGGGCTAGAAAAAATAAATTGCAATATAATTTCTCTCTTGTCTAGTGTCAAAATTATGATTGAATCATATATAGAATGGAAATCGTGAATAATTATATTATTAGACATTTCAAATCATATTTTATTACTGTAAAATTTAGTCTAATTCAACATTTCCATTTTGGTGCCACACATAGTGATTTTCAGACTGTGTGTATAAATGTAAAGTAGAGCTAAACTTCAGATTCCATGGATTGGCATTATATCTGAAAACACTAAGCTGCTCGTTTCTAATACTGGATCATCCCAAAAAAGTCTTAAAGGTAATGTTAAATTTAATAAATATTACTGAGTAAATAACTTAAAACATTCACTCAGTACATATAATTCTTACTAACTTACAATTAAAAACCCTTTTAATAGACAATATTGTATCATATTGATAAATATTGCTTCAGAAAGTGTTGTAGCAATATATTGGGCATATTTTGTGATTTATATACATCTGAGATGGTTCAAGGAACACTGGTGGCATAGAATTATTAAGTTAGTAATTAAATTAGTAATTAGAGCTATTATAAATTAGTAATGATCTTTTGTTTTTGTCTAAAAGATAGAATTCCATCAGTAAGCCCAAAGCAATTTTGGATTTCTTACGGTTTGCTCAGAGGCATTCATTAATCTTCCTTAATATTGGAATTAATTGTTTATTATTTTAAGTAAGGCATGAAATAAGGCATAAAAGCAAACGAAGAGCATGTTTCCTTAAATGGTTCTGAATGCTCATTTATAAAACTATACAAGCAATGTGTCCCCGAAGGTCGCCGAACTTGAATGTGTTTCAATTCTGTTCACTATTCTTCCTTGTGGCCATAACCTGCTGACACAGCCTTAAAGGCCTCTGGTGAACATCAAATAAAAAGAAAATCAATAGGTCAACCAATAAATAAATAACCAAAACAAAACATTAACAACAACAACAAAAATCTATTAGCAAAGAGGCAAAGGGGTGAGGGGACAATTGGTAGATCAGAATAGAGATTTGCCTTTACTTTCTTTTGCACTTATGAGCACACGGGACTGTAGGAGTTGGTAGACTCCAGCGTACATTTAAGTTTGGGCCAGCTCCTAGCAAGGTGTGTCAGCATTCCAGAACCGACATTTGGGTTCTGTTTTCTAAAGGCCAACTTCATATGCAACTTGAAGTGCAGTCACTGCAAATGCTACTACTGTCCCCTGCCGGGGGATGCCCTTGTGTATTAGAAGAAAGTAAAAGTGTTGTATTAATTTGTCATATCACATAGCACATCTGTATAGCAGTAAAGGTCTAACTTAGCAGTTCTCAAACAATTCCATCCTGCAAGAATGGGCTAGGTAGAGGTGAGAAGTATGATAAGTAGGGGTGAGTGGAGGATGAGGTGCTAATAGAGGGGGCAGGCAAGGGACAAGGTGAATAATGGTGAATGAGGTGGCAGGGGAGAAACAGATGGTGGACAAGAAGAGGGGAGGTTGGACTCCGCTCTTCAGGTCCCCTGGGGCCTACTACCTTCCAGTTTGAGGAACACTGGTCCATCTCCCCCTCTCCAAGAAAAAACAGATGCATATTTTTGCTCACAAACTATTTCAGGCAATTCATTAATCACACCACGCCTCAATGTGCTGAACTAAAAAGGGGGCTGCTCTAGCCCAATGTACTTTGCAGAGAAACTAGGGTGAGGGTAGACACGTGACCCATGAGAGAATTCTATCAAGCCTCTGCCCCTCTTAGGCCATGAAATATCAACCAGCTTGTGGGCAGAACAAGCTGGAAAGCAAAAGAAGAAATGGCACAGCATCCAATGATACTGACAGACCCTTAACTGCAGTTGAATGGTGAAGCTAGAAGCCATAGAGAATCACATTACTACTAATCCATAAAGTGGAGAAATATAGACACATTTAATTTGAATACAGAATAAGGAAATGCACTTCTGAGGGCAAAGGATTTTTGTTTGTTTGTTTTTACCAATACTACCTGTTGGCTGAGTTTTTTAAGGTAAGAGATAACACTGTAACTAAGTCCACAATCTAAATTATCTGATATCAGATTTGGAGCTCCCATCATCCTTAGTGCTTTCTTTAATGGCTATAAGGAAACAAAATACACAACAGTAAGAATAGAATAAATCTTAAAATACTCAAAGTTCAGTTATAAGGGGCAAAGGGACATGATTCATTTCTTAGAAGTCAAGGTGCTGCACATAAAACCAAACATGGAACATTCAAAAGTGGCAATGAAACAGCAGAGAAGCAAGAAGCAGAAAGTAAAAAAATCAGAAGAGAGTGGGATAAGAAGAGCAAGTAACAGCAAATTCAAACAGGTCAATTGCTTTCAGTCTTAATTCTCAAGTCATAAATATCATTTCACATTGCATTTTGTTGTCCACCCCATCCTGCCCTGACAAAGATGAACACATCCCAGTTTCTCCTCCCAGTGACTAACGCTACCATTGAAAGCTCTGCCTTTTCACCTCTAGAAACTTGGTTTAAAATTTGCCACAGTCCATCTCTGAAATAATTTGGATAATCTTGATTGAGATTTTGTGGCCAGTTCAAAATCATCACGGATACTTCCCTCAAATTGTAAAAATCAAAATGAAGCCAAGTAATTTTTTTTTTTACTCTGTTTGGATTCCGCCACCACCAGGGCCCCCACTTCATATTGTGTCTAGGACACATTTTTTTTTTACAAGCACTAAATAAACAGAATGTCCTTGGCTTTTTTTTTCTCCCTCCCCCCCCCACCCCGAGGCAGTTCCCATATTCACAATTTCTAGAGTTAAAAAGGAAAATTAATATAGAACATGAATCCAGACCTATTTTCTCATCCCCAATTATAATTCCATGAGGCTAATTTTAATTAGAGCAAAATAGAAATGTGTTCTAATGCAAATGACCATGGCAGTTAAAGGAAATAAAAGAAACAGTTTTCTTATGCACTGCCAGGGTATCTCCAAGTTCTTACACATAATCTGGGAAGACAATGACGACACAAATATTTATAAATTAATACATAACTATCTTATTTAAGGGGTAAAGTTTTTGGTTCAATGACATTTCTTGTGACAAGAATCATTTCTCAAACAGTTAAGAAATATATACACATAAATACATACTAATAAGTAGTATGGAGGCAGAGTTTTTAAGTAGCCGTCAAAAGCCTGTCGCCACTTCAGATTTGGCTTAAGCTTGTGAACTTTAAACAAGTCATCTGCAAGAGAAAATCAAATAAAATATGACATTATTCTAGCCCTAAATTCTAGCATCTAAATCAGGCCACCCATACACATCATATCACTTCCCAGACATCTCAAGGTTTCACTGCATTTGATGAACCTTTCACTGGCCTTGATCTATCACTTTTGGTGGTTGTACTATTAACCAAAATTATGTTCAATACTTTTCTAGAAAATTAAATACATATTCCTCTTCTGTCTATGAAGCACATAAACTAGAATATTAAAACAATGACTCAGATGCATGTGAAATATTTTTTCTGACCTGTTCAATATTAGTAACATTTATATTGGCAATTTTCACCTGCGGGGAATCCATGTTCACTGGTAGATGAATATTTCTTTTATTTAAATAGAGGGTCTAACACTTCTTGCTGAAAGGTCAAGGTAGGATACTCCACAAAATATATGAACACAAAAGCTAAGTCTATTCTGTAGGCAATGATGGCAAGCTCTAAATTATGTTTTCAATTCTCCTTAATCAGCCTGTTATTTGTTTAGGTAATCTGCCTCCCGCCCCTTCATTTCTTTGATTTCAGTTGTCAGGATTTTGAGGCAGAACTCAGGTCTCTCAATTACTAAACTAACAATTTGATGATGGCACTAGTAAAAGCAAATAGAGATGCTAGGTTGAAGTTTTAAATTCTGTACAACTAAATATGTTTATTGGGTAGCAGGTATAGTAACATAACTTGGATGTTTTCCTTAAATAAGCAGACAGCCCCTATCTTTTCACATTTAGATTTAATTATTTTAATGACCTAAGTACATTACACATAAGGCATTACATTTTTGAATTATCTCTTATTTCCCCTGAGGGTAGGAATGTTTTTTTCTAATGTAATAATTCAAAATTATTAAATATGAATATTCAATATTAACCTGCCACATTTACTATAAATATCAAAGATATTATAAATTGAGTCTCTATTTTGCTTCTTCAGGCTTTATTGGCTTTTATCAAAAAAAACATGGCTATTTCCAGAGACAAAAATCATCCCCATACCATATACATAATTTTTCTGTACACAGGACTCTTGAACTTCTAAATTCCTTTACGGAAAACAACTACATATTTTCTTCCTTTTACTGCTATAATAAATTATTCACTCCTGCTGAAACTAATTTCAGTGAATTTAGAGAGTCTTGAAATGTAGGTCTTTTGTTCATTTGGTACAGGTAGCAAGAACAAAGAAAAACTGATCTGAAGAGATTTCTGGCTCATTGTAGCACGCAGGTCCTTTGAAGACTAGTCATATCTTGACAGTAAGGAACAAGAGACTTTGGAAATATCCCCTTATGCTGTGCTGTGTCTTTATGAGGAGTCTTGTGGGAATTAGGCTGATTTTTAAATACCACAAGACTGGAGAGACATTTAGATAAAGAAAGATTCGATCATCAGAATCAATAATAATATTTCTAACAATGCCGATTGTGATGACTCCACTTTTCCACCCACAATTAGTCTAATTAATTCTTGTTGGGTTTTTTGTAAACAAGGGATGGAGCAAGAAAATCTTCCACAGTCGAGAGCAAGTGTAGAGAGCAATTAGGGTGTCCTGTTTTAGTCACGTCTCTGGAGCTCAGAAAATGAGTTTTACCATATTAGATCTCCACTCACATGCAGCCTCTGGGTGGTGCAGTGGAGGTGTCAATAAACGAGCTGATCAACTTCTGAGAATTGAGGAGATGAATGTAGCATGAGAATAAAATGATACAGACAACACCTCACACACCATCCATATTTTATCTAGTTCCTTTCTCATTTCTGCTTCAAAGAGGAAGACCTGGGTTTGAATTCAAGCTCAGCCACATCCTTAGCTGAGGGAGCTTAGAGAAATCACCTTTTTTTTTTTTAAAGATTTATTTATTTATTCATATAGAACTGGGGTACAGGCCAGAGATGCGGAGGGTGAGAGGCTTCATCAGAGACAGAGTGGGGGGCAGAACAGGCAGATCGACGAAGTACACTGCTGAGGGGAGCAGCGGGTGGGTCAGAGGTCTGCCACGCCATGTGGTCACCTCCGGGGCAGGCGGGAATGGAACTCATGCGGATGCGGCTTTAGATTCTCAGTGCTGTGCTTTAATCTGCTGCGCCACCAGGGAGGGCCCGAGAAATCACCTTTATTAGCCTCCATTTCATTTACAAAGGGTTTAATGATAATTGCCCCACCCTACTGATTTTTTAAAAAAGATTTATTTATGTATGTATATAGAACTGGGGTACAGGCCAGAGGTGCCAGGGTCAGGGGTAGGTGAGAGGATTCACTAGAGACAGAGTGGGGAGCAGAACAGGCAGACTGATGAAGTACACTGCTGAGGGGAGCAGCGGGCATGGCCAGGAGAGGTCTGCCGTGCCATGTGGTCACCTACAGGGTGGGGATCAGACTGATGCTGAAGTGGCTTTAGCTTTTCAGTGCTGTGCTTTATTTAACCCGCTGCGCCACCAGGGAGGGCCACCACCCTACTAATTTTTATGACTAATCCAGTTAAGCCTCACTTATCTAGCCCACGTAAGGTTTTTTTTTTTTTTTTAGTGCTTAAATAATTAAAAAAGAAGAAAAGGGTCACCTTTATGGACAGTTATTCTACTATGCAGTGATACAGTGATATTTCTGGGTGTTATAAAATATGTGTGAATTAAATTTCCTTTTTTTACTAAATGCCCCTGCGCACTGAAACTGCAAACCAGTAGTATACAGTGGACCCTCCCTGGTGGTGCAACAGATTGAAGTGCAGTACTATGGAGCTGTCTGCTGACATTGCAGCACGGGTTTGATCCCCAGCCAGGAAGTTGACATACATGGTGCGACAGATCTCTCCTGACCCGCCCACTGCTCCCCTCAGCAGTGTATTTCAGTCAGTCTGCCTGTTCTGCTCCCCATTGTCTCTGGTGCCCCAATTCTTGTATGCATAAATAAATAAATCTTTTTTAAAATGAAACAGCAGTGCTTTCAAAGCTATAGCTCCACTCCCCCTTCCACCATACCCTGGCAACCACAATTCTACATTTTGTTTCCATGAGTTTGACTATTTCAGTTTCCTTGTAAGTGTAATCATAAAGCATAAAGTCTTTTGTGACGAGTTCATTTCACTTCGCATAATGTCCTCTGAGCTTGTCCGTATGACAGGATTTCCTTCTTTTTAAAGGCTAAATAATAGCCCATTGCATGGATGTACCACACTTTCTTTATCCACTCACTCATTGATAGATGTTTGGATGGCTTCCACCTCATGGATATTGTTAATAAGACTGCTATGAACACGGGTGTGCAAACATCTCTTGGTGACCCTTTGTTCAGTTCTTTTGGATATGTTCCCAGAAGTGGGATTCATGGATCACATGATAATTCTATAATTAATTTTTAAAGAACTCTCTGTATTGCTTTCCATGATGGCTGCACCATTTTCACGCCCACCAACAGTGGATGGACAAGGATTCTAATCTCTCCACATCCTGGCCCACACCTGCTACTTTCTGTGTGTGTGTGTGTGTGTGTGTGTGTGTGTGTGTGTGTGTTACAGTGGTTAGTTAATGAGTATAAGCCAATCTCTTCTGGTTTTTAATTGTCTTCTCTAATGATTAATGATGTTGAACATCTTTTCACATACTTGTTGGCCATTTGTATATTTTCCTTGAAGAACTGTCTACAAATCCTCTCTCACTTTAAAATCAGATTATTTGCTTTTTTGTTGCTGTTATATTTTAGAAGTTCTGTATATAATCTGAATATCATTTATCTCTTACTATTTCATCAAATTCATGTAACTACAATTACCTCAATATAAAGCATACTTAAAAATAGAAAACTAATACTGTTTACAGTGTAAGTAATGATTATCTAGTGTCATCTGTCACTCTGTAGCTGTGAAAAAATGATAAAGACATACTTAAGAAATATAGCAAATGCAGACAATAGATACTTTTTATTGTCAGTCATATTAATCCCAAGTATCTAAATCAAAGTGCATAGTAGTGACAATCACCTACCAGAGCATACTGTTTCATTGGACTAAGAAATAAAGAGGATAAGCTATGCAAAGTAGCCATGCTAATAGACCTGATTCGTTCTTAACTTGTGGTATTTAAGTTGCTTTTTCAGTATATAAAGATTTATAACACTAAAAATCTTTTGTTTTAAATAAAATCTCATGCTTTAAATAAGCGCATTAAAACTTAGTAAAGCTTTCATCCTTTTCACAAAAATTAAGAAACCCTACCAAATAAAAATGCTTATAAGTTTATAAGACGATGCCGCATGGTACCATGTGACTCTAAACAGATGTGGCTTTTTATTTTATTTTATCGTTTTAGATGTGGCTTCTTAAATGAGAAAAATCCTCACACACATCTTCAGCAATATGAGTAACATCTTCTGGAGTTGTTCCTTTACAATTCTGCCATGAAACCGTGGCTTTTACAAGTGCAGTTATTGCATAATTTACTCCTGTCCCTATTTCCTTAACTTGCTATCCTGCCTAAAACCAATGCCTCAAGAACACTTCATATTCTTTCATGGGGTAATGAGTGCAAGCCCATAGAAGCCCTGTTTTCTGAAGAAAGCCTTCAGATCCTTGCAGCATTCGTCACTATCAGTGCTATTTTTTGGCCCAAACTAGCTTATAAAAAAGCCAAGTGCACTTCAAATGGGTTGGTAGGAGGAAGCATTGGGGCCTGTAACCTCAAGAACAGTGTAAGAAGCATGTACTGAAGAATAAGTGTCTCTTCTGTCTGATGTAAAAACAACAAAAAGAAAAGGAACCAAGCAGAAGCAGTACACAAATTCCATCCTTCCAACTCAGTTCTTAAACTTTTATATATCCTGATACCATTAGAAATTGTTTGATGCTGGGCCCTCCCTGGTGGCGCAGCGGGTTAAAGCTCAGCATTGAGAAGCTAAAGCCACTTCCGCATGAGTTTGATTCTCGCCTGCCCTGGAGGTGACCACATGGCGTGGCAGACCTCTCCTGACCTGGCCGCTGCTCCCCTCAGCAGTGTGCTTCGTCCATCTGCCTGTTCTGCTCCCCACTCTGTCTCTGGTGAAGCCTCTCGCCACCCCTGAGCCTCTGGCCTGTACCCCAGTTCTGTATGCATAAATAAATAAATCTTTAAAAAAATTGTTTGATGCCAATAAAAAATTGTTACTCCATTATTTATTATTCATTTCTGTCCTATTTGAAAGATGAGTAGATGGCAGATTTCACTTACCTAAAAGAGGGAGTAAAACTGGATAGTTGTATGGCATCACAAAGAGGTTTACACAAGTTAAAGTTGTACTGGCTTTTAAATAACCGAATGGATATCCAAGTTCATTGTATTTTCCACTGCTAGTAACAAACACCTGAGAAGAACATGAAGCAATGTACACTTAAAACAACATGATTTTATGGGAAAACAAACTCACAGCAACATCCCACAGCGACATCTATGGTACAGTTTCATTGTAACATTAAGTGACATGACCTGTGGTTATGTCAAAGTAGATCACACTAAATAGGAATGTCCCGCTTGCAATGCTTTTTTAATTATATTAAGAAATGAACTGCACGATGCAGTAATCATTCAGAGACCACAGGCTCTATTAACAATACCCAAATATGTAGTTGGTTAGCACAATGGAAAATGGGGCTGAAATACTGCTAAGTGAGGCCAGCCAATGAAAACAAATTGACTTCTCAAAAGAATCAGAGTGGAGACTTTTAGGAAAATAGAATGTGGTCCCAAGTCTAAAACATTTGATTATAAAAACAAAGCGCATTGAAAGGATTATACTGACACTGCTCATGCGCTACTAGCGAGTCTTGCCTTGTGCCATTCCTCTACCTGCTTACTCATTTTTCATTTCATAAATATTTATTACGTACCTTCTTACAAGCCAGGCACTGGAGCTAATTATTTTGAGGCAAGAGGTACTTTGGCTCATCTGGAAGTCAGTTTCTCTTGTAATTTGTGTTAGTAGAGCAAACACTAAAGACATTAATCTTCACTCCACAGAACTTACTCCTGGTTGATCTTCCTGAGTTGGCATAAATCATATTTTCAGCCCTTATACACTTGCTATACTGTGCTGGAGTCTTCTAGCTACTCTGTTCCATGTTCACATTTTGCCCAAATCAGGGCACTAGTAATAATGGGACTTATAGACAGTGTCCTTTTCCAATGTCCCTCAAAAGAATCATGTAAGACAACAGTTAACCACTGCTGTTGAAAAAGTCCAACTCTGGAACCAGCAATGTCACCTAATGGGCCACTAAATCCTTACTACATTTAGGTATAACTAAGGATAGGTCGTTCCTATAAAATTCATGGCTCCACAAAACAGTGAGTTAGGTTAAAACATGCCTCAGCTAATGGATCCCATGTCTTAATTTGAACCTTAACAGAAATGGTTAACTGTAAGGAAAAAAATGTCTGATTACCCCCTATTTCCTAAGTGTCCATGTTACAAGAGAGGGAAAACATCATGAAGCATAAAAAAAGTTTCATGCATGCGGCCATCAAGGGTCAGACTGATTCTCTTGAAAGGAAAAACGCTGTTTTGTTTTTAGTCCCTTTCTTACTTACTCCCTTTCTTTCTCTGCTTCCTTTCCTCCCTCCCTTCCTGTCCTTCTTTCCCGTAAGTCCTTGGAGCTTGTCCAAATTCTTTACCACCTGAAAATTAATAGAATTTGGGGGTTCAAAGAAATCATGAGGGGCAGACCAGCTAGCTCAGTGAAAGTAAGGATTCACTTCAAGGTAACATAGCTGGTGGCAGAGCAAGGATTAGAATCCAGTCTCCATTATGATTTTGCCAAATTTCCTGGCTCCTGATTCATCTTATTCTTTTTCACACTCAATAAGTCACTGTACTAAAACTACTTTAAAGCCAAATAACATAAGGCACAGAAGAAAGACAGCACATAGTTGAGGGTGATGTGGGGAACGAGGACAGGATTTTTAAAGTTTCTTTTTATAAGATTTTTCAAGAGATGTGCTATATAGAAAAGAGTTTACTTTTGGGGAAAAGTACAATTTGCAATTTGCTTTTATTGTAAATACTTTTCCAACTCATTAATTCAAACCTCTTATTTTGATTTGAAATTAGGATTCTAAAAGCCTTGTCTCTACATTTGTAGCACCTTTAAGTGAATTGTATTGAAATAGAAACATGAATTTAAAAAGATGTAGGAATTGTAGGTATACAGATCAGTGAATGTTCATATGTAATCAGCACACAGACCAAGAAGTAGAAGATGATCAGAAACTCCCTCATGTCCATCTCTGGCTCCTACCCTGCACTCCCAAGGGAAACCACCATCCTGACTTTTAACAGAGTAGCTCAGTTTTAGCTCTTGTTGAATATACATAAAGTAAAATCGTATGTGTGATCTTTTATGTCTCACTTCTTTTGCTCTGAGATTGTTCTCTTTCTTGCACATCTCCATCCTTGTATTATGCCTGTCCCTTTCTTTTCCACCCAGTTTTAGCAATTTTGGAGAATTCAAGTAGCCCAAAGGCAGTTAGTAGCAATAAACTGACATGTCAGGATGGAACAGATGGCAGCCTGAAAGTGTTTCTGGCGTGACTAGAACCTAACAATCACTGGCTGCTGTATGGTGCTGTAGTTTAGAAACAGAATTAACATTCTCATAGTGTAGGACTTGTTCTACCTAAATAAAAAGAGCTGTGACTGCCATGTCTGGATGTTTATGAATTAAAATGCAAAGGTGGAATCTACTAACCAGTCAGGAAGCCCCTTTGCTGAAGCCAGGCTGGAAGAGCCAGTGTGCATACATTTGTCTGTGCATTTCCCTCATCCCAGAAAACCTGCACTACACGGCCCGTGCACTTGATACCACAGGACGGTTTGAGGGTTTCGTTCCATTACACTAAAGTGAAAGTAGCTTCCGGGCTTATATTTCTTTTTCTTTTTGCCAAAAATATCCTGTACATCCAATCTGTCAATTTCAAATTAAGCCTGAAAACCTTGCTTCAGGAATCCACAGCTAAAGGCAATGGTTAGGCTTTCTAAGTGTGGGGTCTCTGAATGAGGCTTCAGGGGAGTCCTCCAAATCTCCAAATCCACAGATTTTATCAGATTTTACTGTTTTCACTGGTAATGGACAGTAGGCTGATGCTTCATATCAGTCTGAAATTATTGGCATGACTCTGTTGCTTACACAGTAGCTTTTGTGAGGCACATTACTAAGAGATTCAGCGAAATTATTCCCAGATTAATCTTTGAAACTTCTTAAAACAATTCAAGGAACCCAGAGAGGTTACGGAAACATGGCCAACAATTAAGGGTAAGCACCTGCCAGCAGGTATGGGGAGATTTTCGTTCCAGGATATACTGAGTTAAAGGTGAAGGTTCAAGTTCATATTTGTCAAACGGAAGTTTGTCTATTACCATTGGTTCACAGTCTATGCAGGAGAACCTCACAACAGGATGAGATGTTCGAGGAGGCTAAAAAACAAAAAGGGAAAATACGTATATTATCAGCAAGCTTACATCTCTGACAATTCGACACCCCCCTCCATGTTTTATTACACCATAGCTGAGATACAGACTAGTGTTTGGAGAAGGACAGCACCTGCTCTTTGGGCATCATGTTGGCTTCCGTGGGTGAGGGTGTCAGATTCCTTTTCCCTACCATTGGGAAAGGAAAGGAAAATCTTAAGACCCCTGCCACAATTTCAGAAAAATACAAAGACTGCTTTGAATATGTTTAAGAAGTTATGATCTGTAGGATGAACCCTGAATTCTGGATCCATGTTGTGACCTCCCCAAGGACTACCTGTCCTTCACTGATTTGTACCATGAGGTTATAGAGCATCCAGGCGTTACTGGCGAAGACGAAATCCATGAAACTTCCTAATGAGGTAATGGCAGGCTTGGAGCCACTAACAAGCAAGATGAAATTTCGTCAAGGCATGGAACGGGCAACACAGGCCAGAGCTCATCAGTTGTCCCAACTCCAGGGCACACATGAATTTTTCCAGCAATTCTCACACCCTTATTTTTTCCTTGAACCGCTGGAGTCGGAACATTTCCGGCTGGGTTGCCAAGGCTTGTGCACCTGGAGAGCAGAGCAGACTGATGGAGCAGCCACCTCACTACCAGGTTCTGCTTGTGGGAATGGAGAACACCAGAGAGGAAAACGAGGGCAGTAATGTACTCTGGGGAGATGAGGCAAAGAACAAGTTCCCAGGACAAGGATGAGAAGTGTTCTAATCTTGCTGGGAGAGCTGTAACGCTAATATGAACGGAACAAAACACTTGATTTCTTTATAAAAAGCAAGTCCCTGATCATTTGCTTTTGAAATTTACAAGCCTATTAAGATGTTTTGGGGACTGGGATAAATAGGCCTTAAATGTGCTTCTAAAGTGGGAGGAATGGTAGCATGAGCCACGCGTAACACCGAATGTCTTTTATTCCAGGTTTTTCTGGTATCAGTTTGAGTTAAACTTGAGACATATTTCTGGTGTATTAGATTTAAACCTATGAAAAAGGCAGGAACAAAGCCCCACCACTAGCCATTGGGTAGTAAGTCCCTAAGTAAAACATTCACTCTGGAACCGGAAGGGACCGAGAGCAGCTGGGCATTGCACTGACAAGAGCCATCTTGGAGCTCCACTTGCAGGAGGAAGGGTTTATCCTCACTCACAGCAGGGCGGAAATGGCTCTTCAGCCTTACATTCAGATTGTTGTGCATGGCCACTCCTGAAAAAATGCAGGAGCCTAAAAATAGTAATCGGGGAAATGCAGCTCATGTTAGACACTTTTGAAAGTTAGATGTAATATACATTAGTGAAGCACGCAAGTGCTAAACTAGAGAAGTGATCTTTGGTGCCGCTCCTCCCCCACCACAAGAGGGACTCTGACTTTTTTTAGTATAGCCTGGAGAGAGGGAGAGAGACTGGGGGTTTCACAGAGTTTCCTTCATTACTGCGTACCATCCTTCCCTCCCCAAAAGACCATTTCTTGGGTACTAGGGGTAGCGATATATCAAACCTTCCTCTCCAAATACAGTGAGCAAAAAGACAGCCCTTGCTTAAAGATCATTCCGAAAGTATTGCTTAGTTACCCATCATTATAAGGTACACTGCCAAGACACACAATTTATTGGTAACAAAAAGGTCCACAAAGTCCCATTAGGTGTGCAATGACTCCCTAGGAGGAAACAGAATGATTTCTGTTTTGAATGTTTCTAGAGCCTATCTAAGGTGCAAACTATGTTCTCATTTCCTGGGGCTGTCCATGGAAATCAATACCAGCAAATTTTAGAAATTGTACTTACCATGTAAATCAAGTCAGCTGCTCTGAAATAAAAACCAAGTTACAGATTGCAACAACATCAAAGTAACAACGCTTTAATTTCCAGAGGACAGTTCAAGTGGCAAAGGCAAAAGAAAGAATAAAAATGCCTGGACAGAAAAGTCGTTCTCTCTTGTTCTTGGGTACAAGCTAGTGTCCATAAAAGATAAAGGCACGGCTTTAACGCCTCAAAGCTATGTTCAAAGATTTACTGTGATCAGAACACGGAACATCCAGAATGTTTACCACTTTGTTTCATGACACTTACTAGTGAAGGTAAATTCTGATCTGGCCAAAAAGACTCTGGAATTGGCCAATGTCCAACAGGAACGCCAGTTTTAGAATTAGGTCGTACGTAAATGAGCTTATGACAACTATGCCATGCTTGGGCAGCAAATGAATTGCTTGGCCTAGCTGAATCCACACATCCATCTAAAAGTTAAACAAAAGACAGACTGAGGCATGAATTTCTTTTCACAGCTGCTGATCTTCTCGTACAAATTTTTTTCAGCTGAAAACAAAGCAGAGAACAAAACCAAAACCATGATTCCTGAGAAATGGAAGAAAAAGAGTGACTAGCAGGATTTCTGAGTGTTCTCTCCAGCAACTCTTTTCATTTAATCTATCCCCTCTGATTCAGCTTCCACCCCCTTATCCTTAACCTACTACCAAAACATGCAGTTATATGAAAAGCTATTATGAAACTAGTTTTCACTTTTCTGAGATTTGGACACATCATGAATGAAACACACCAAACCACTACAGCTATTTTTCCAATTAAGCAAATGAAATTATTCAGTCCCTGGTATAACTTTACATTTTTGGAATCTGCCAAATAGGTAATAAATTCTACTTCGATACTCATTCACAATTCAATGGAAAGAGTCAGCGGTCACAGGATAAAAACTACCCGCATTCACTCCACGGGACAGGTGTGCTGGCGACACGATGTAGGTAAAGGGCTGGGGGAGGAAACGCATCAACTCTACTGTGTCAGCCTGTTACATTTCCATGTCCACCATTAACATTCCATGGAAACTGGGCATTGGATCATCTCAATAATGTATCTTGAATGCATTTTTGAATTATTGAAACTTTTAATGAATTATTTAATTATATTTTCATGTGTCCTGCCCGTTCTAGAACAAGAGTTGCATCACCTTTACTGTGATGATTCATGTGTCTAAATTATATTTGTAAAAGTTATGTTTTAATGATGTGAGTCTCATTTTTCTTAAGTTATACATCATTTGGTTTACTTATTAAGTATTACTTTAGCCAAGTAATTATTTTAGATCAGGAGAGTGACCGGGAGTCCATGAAGCTCTAGGGAACACATGTGCAGTCAGGCCTCACTTAATGATGGCGGGACAGTCTGAGAAATGCGTTGTTAGGCAATGTCATCGTTCCATGAGTTATCACAGAAAGTACTTCTACAGGCCTAGATGGTCAAGCCTGCTACACACCAGGCTCCCCAGTGTAGCCCATTGATACCACCATCATGCATGTGATCGGCTGTTGACCAGAATGTTGTTAGTTGATGCATGACCATTAGAGAATTCCCTTAAGTTGGGCTCACAATGCTGAGAATGTGCTTTTTCCTGATGGGAGAATTCTCAAATTCCATCAGAATCTCAAAGATTAAGAACGGTAGACAAATGGGAATTGGAACAGCTAAAACGTAAATCTGAGCTACTTCCATGGCACCAAACCCAGTAGGGCTTCCGTATGAAAGCTGATAGTTCATGGTAGGTAACGAGCACAAAATGATGGCTTAAGCAGTCTGTAGTTAGCAATGTAACATGTCCTTCCTGCACAATTAATTTAATTTAAAATAGACTGTGGGGCCTCTCTTTGATGGCAAGTGTTTTTAAATTGTCATCCAAGAAACCACTGAAATTAAAACAAGTGTCTATATGTGGCCTGTGTCTGTTTTTCTAGGGAGAGGACGTCTCTATTCTTCCAACAGTTTCTCAAAGGGACCCGGGGTGGGGGGAAATAGCAAAAAGTTCAGAAACCACAAGGACCCTCCTCTTCAGAGAGAAACGTGTTCTTACTTTCCTCGGCAGCTACCACTGATTATGTACAAGGAAATTAAAATGCATGGATCATATCAGACAAACATGGTGGTAATGAGAGGCATCCTAGTGAGTATGTGTGTGAACTAACAGAAACGAGGAGAGGCCACAGCATAGAAAACTGCTATGAGGACACTTTGCAATGCAGGTCTAATGTGAGGGGAGAATTACATTTCCCGCTGCAAAAAATAGCTCTGCATTCGTGTATTTTGAGATGATGAACTTTCTGTAAAACCTCTTTTGAAGATAGAAGGCTCGCAGCTAAAAGGTGGCTGGTAAATACTGCTACAGGTTCTGACAGAAAACTGGCATTTCCTGGGTAAACATTCACAATCTCTTGCTGACCTGTAGTAACAAATGCAAATTTTATAAACATAGCCTGGCACACTGGTGCTCACAAGACCAACCCCAGATTACTAGTTAAGTGTTAACTCTATCATGAATCTGCAGAAACTTCGTGAACAGAGGTGAATGATTATCGACTTAAAACTGGGACCAAGGAATATGAAATGGATAGGAAGAGGAGAAAGTTTCTTAGGAAGATCTGACATTAGAGTTGTTAGAATTTGGTCACTGGCATGTCAACCAAAGGAAAAGGTTGCTGTCGGGATGGTGTTTGCCACTACCTGAATGTATGTGGATAGTAAAGACTGTGTCTATTGTGACTGATGTAATGGCTTGTCAATCCCAAACCATTTTTTATATACCACTTTAGAGTAAAAAAAAAAAATGTTATCAACCATACCTTCTCCAATAGGAAGTGGATCTGGTCCTGTTTTTTCAAAGTTAATAACTACACCACTCTGAACTTTTTGAACTAGAGATTCTAAACATTGATTCAACATTCTCTGTGTTCTAACACAGTAGGAGCGACCTATAGTAGAAGGAAAAACAAATAGTACAAGTTGATCAAGTAAAATACTCTTTAATAATGCAAGCTTTGAAGTCCTAACACATAACTTAATTAATCCTAACTGCTGCTTAAGCTCATAGCACTAACGATGAGCGTAAGCAGCAGAATTAAAAAGTTTTGAAGGAAAACAAGATACCAGGAATGGCACTTCAGAAAAACTGCTCTGTGCTGCCCTGAATTCCTCCCGTAGGCATATTAAGTATGACCAATACCTCCTGTGACTTCACACATCTGTGTGATGGCAGACTCATCGGTCGGCACGCTCCCTAGTTGTTCTGGCTCAGTCACAGCCAACCCAGGCAAGCGCAACACCAGGGCAAATAACCTTTGATCCCAACGAAAAGGTTCTTTGGTTAGTTCACTTCCAGGCAGAGGAGAATGCAGAGGCAGATGAAGCTAACAAGGCAAATTTGAAATGCTCATCACAACAGTGCATACAAAAATAAATTAGAGTTCACTTTTCTTCCATGTACTCAATAAAGTGAAGCAATCTTTCAAGGATTACCAAGATGGAAGGTTTGATCAAACTTATTCTTAACTGGAAATTTATGCCTCCCACAGAACGAGCTGCATATCCTTTGCCATTTAAATGAAATTTAAATAAATGAAATCTCACCTCTTCTTGAACACCAGCAGTAGTTGTTAACTTGTTGCCATCTGTGATGGTAATTAAAATAGATGGTTCTAAAAAAAATGGATTTCTCCCCTAAAATATATTTAAAATATATTAGAGCTGTGTAATGACATTTTATTTCAACTTCTACATTTGCCTTGCCAGTGATGTCTCAAGTATATGGAAAAGATTAGGGACTGAAGTGGGTGGGAATCAACCGTCCCTGAAGAGGTGGAATTCGGAATGAATGGAGGGATTCTTGTTCAGGGTGTCCCCACACCAGAGCACTCACAACAGCTTCTTTCTCTGCTTTCCAAGTAATCGTAGAAGAAAGCTATTAAAGAGATTATAATGGCATCAGCATCCAAGCTACTGAATCCACTGATCTGAGTTAAAATCCTGACGGGGGCATTAGTGACTTAGGCGCTGCCGCCTGGAAAGTGACTCTGGTTACCGTGAGCACACCCTTCGCAGTAGGAGAGGACAGTGGTGGCACAGCTCTGACTGTTCTGCCTGCCTCTTATTCTAGAGCTTTTCCACTGAATTGGGAGGGGTGAGGGAGTCAGGACACTAAAAGTGTCTCTTCACTTGTCTTGTTCAAACATTTCTCAGCAACTTATTCATCCCACTCTCAAATGTCTGATGATCTGATGGGTAGGCAATTTAAAGTATTTTACCACCAAGTCACATACAAGACTCGGAAATAGAGGGATCTATTTTTAAAAATTTGCATTTAAAAGATATATGAATGCCCCCCCTTGAAGATTATGAAAAGGAGCAGAAAACTTAACCATGCTGAATTTAAAATTCTTACCCCCAAGTAACCAAAATAAATTGCCATACTCATTCAAAAATTTTTTACCTGTCCATAATTGTCTATTCCAGATATTAATCTATTGAGATTTAACAAATCAAATGAGGATCTTAGAGCTTGACCAAGAGTAGTCAGTCCAGATGCCTGAAGATTTTTTAGTTCACTCATGAATGTTGCATGATTTTCTTTCCAACCAGCCTGAAAACCAAACATTTACAAAGAAATTTCTGATTATACAATGAACAACACATATGATGCAAACAACCACTAAACACCCACTATCAAGCCTGTAACTAATTAATAGTTCCTAATCTAATTCTCCACCTCAACTGATCACGTGGAACTCAAGCAAGCAGTTTCAGAAAGATCTGCCAGCATTATTGATCAAGAGCAAAGAACTCAAAGCAAGCAACACAGTAGTCCATATGACCAGAGGGCTTTGGCTCCAGAGGTCCAGTTTTCTATTCTGGGTCAACCAAATCTAACAAAAGGCCTCAGTTATTTACCTTACCTTGACACTGATGATGGCCATGGAGTAAGGGGGAGGGAAGGAGTACTTATTTTTTAAATTTGTTACACTTGATAGAGACAACTGAGTGATCTGATCTACATGAATTTTTCTAAACAGATTCTTCCTCCCAAAAATATGTTCACATTAAATGAGAGTCCAGGAGGAATTATAGGAATATAGAGCCACAACTACTTGGAGACAACCCATTTGACATCTTCAAGCATTCAGAAAGCCCCAAATCTAGAGTAAGAGGAGAAGGCTATAAAAACAAAGCAGCACAGGGGTCTCCCTGGTGGTGCAGGGGTTAAAGACACAGTGCTATCAAGCTATGGGTTCGATCCCTGGCCAGAGAGCTGACCCACATGTTGCAGCAGATCTCTCCTGCCTCACCTGCTGCACCTCTCAGCAGTGGATTTCAGTAGATCCGCCTGTTCTGCTCCCCACTCTGTCTCTGTGAATTCTCTCAGCCCCCACACCTCTGGCCTGCACCCCAGTTCTTGTATGCATAGATAAATAAATCTTAAAAAAAAAAAAAAAAGAAAAGAAAGCAGCACAAAATGCCAAGGAGAGAGGCCAAATAACAAGATGTAGCTAACAGCAAGTGACAGAGAAATAGGCCAGCAAGGGAGGGAGCAGTTCAGCGTAGTTTGGCAACTTGATGGGACAGTCACTTGAGTCTTGGTCACCGTGGGGGTCAGCAGTGTGGTACGCTCAATGGTGAAATCATACCAACCAGGCCACAGCAGCTAGAGGTGGGCAGTAAGAGCAAATAATAGAGATAAACTTCAGACTTAGCTAAAGACATATTGTTCACTGTCCACACAACTATACTAAACACTATTTGTTCTAGCAATCTGGACTACAGAAATGCCAACAGGCAGAAAGGGGGCAGACTGCTGGCTGCAGCCTATGGTGAAGCATCTGCATGACCTTGAGCAAATCTGTTAGCTTCTTATCTGAAAAGAAAGAAGAGCAGATAAACTGGGATTCCGTATGCGGGCTGCTGGTCAGCCCTGAAGACGAGTCACTCACACTGTAACCATGAGCATGGCCTCTAGGGTTGCGCAGCACACAAGCGTGTAAACGTGCAGTGGGGCCCAGCAGTCTGGGCTTCTGCAAAATTAAAGAATGATTTCATTTTTTAAAGTATCCTTAACAGATCCTAGGGTCAAAATAGCCAAAGGTGAAACTTTCCATGTGTTCCGTTGGCCAGAGTGTTTATAGACTTTTACTACCTCGAGGGAAGTCACCTGTGAGAGCAATTCCTTATGTCCCAAAGAGAATCTTGCTGAACTGTATAAACTAAACCTTAGTTGAAAGGAAGGATTATGAGTTAAGTTCTCCTCATCAAACAGAGGTTTTCCTTGACTTATGATGGGGTTATGCCCTGACAAACCCACTGTAAGTTGAGAACATCCGAGCGGAAAATGCCTTTACTACACCTAACTTACTGAACATCACAGCTTAGCCTAGCCTGCTTTGAACATCTGCAAAACACCAACATTAGCCTAGAGTTGGGCAAAATCATCTAACACCAGCCTGTTCTATAATAAAGTGCTGAACAGCTCGGAGACAGATAAGCAATCGTAGACACAATGGGGGCAAAAACAGAACACACAATTTCCCAGAACCACTGGCAACACAGTCCACTGTAGAATGTTGGCTGTTACCCTCCTGATCACGTGGCTGAGCAGCCGTCTTAGCTCACTGCCCAGCATCCCTTAAGAGTATCATACCGAGTATTGCTAGTCCCAGAAATGATCAAAATTTAAGATTCATAGTTTAACTTCTACTGAGGTGTATGGCTTCTGCACCAACATCAAGTCAAAAAATGCAAATAGAACCACTGAACTCAGGGACCATCTGTCCCTAAATGTCAGCAGGTGATTATAAATCACCCTGAATTTAAAAATTAACTTTCTTCTTTGGGGTGGAAGAGAAAGGTGTACTGTTGGGTGGAGGCAGATACATTGATTCTTTTCTTATTTAACAAGTTTTTATGGACTGACTGTGCCACACTGGGTCAAACGCTATCGACAGGCTGGGCGTGAGCGGAAGCAGACCTTGAGAGCTCCTGCCCCGGACAGACAGAGTAAGGAGCGCAGGTATGGGGGCTGAAGGAACAAGCGGCCAGAGTGAGGGGAGGCTTCTCACAGAAGACGGGGCATGTGAGGAAACCTAATGGCACAAAGAGAAGACTAAAAGTCTCCCCACACTGATGCGAGGACAGTCCACAGAAGAGATGGGCCGCAAAAGCATAGGGCTCGCTGACCTGGCTGCCTGGCAGAGGCAAGGCTGATAAATGTGGCTGTGACTGTAAAGTGCTTTGCACACCATGCTCGGTAGTTGGGATCTATCTGGTGGCCCTGGGAAGAACCTGAGGTTTTTAATTAGGGGAGTGGCATGATCAGATCTGTATTTTAGCAAGATTGTTCTGCTGGGAGTTGGAGAATAAATTGTGGGGTGGAAGGGAGGGTGAAGCTGGAGGCAGGGAAACTGGTTTGGAGACTGTTGCAAGAGCTTATGAGAAGAGTGATGAAAGCCTGAGCTAGGGCAGTGGGGATGCAGAGGAGGCTACAGATGAAAGAAGAAAGTCAGAAGTGGAGTCATGAGGATTTAGTAGCTAATTAGAGGGATGGGCCAGGGAGAAAGGGTAATACACCAGGTTGAGGGTTCTGGCTTGGGCAAACCTCTGAATGGTAGGGTCTTTCATCCAGAAGCCACTTTATAAGTTGATTTTCTTGGGGTTCCTTGATTTAGCAATCTTACATCCATGCTGAGAATGCACAGTTGTAGCTCCAGCAAGTACTGGATTCATGGGAGCCACATAAAGTTCAAGACATGATGAAAGAAAAATTAGTGGACTACTTGACTTGGTAAACAGCTGGGATAAGCTGAGTATCAATACATTATAACTCATCATTATTGTAAATAATGTAATAATAATTCTGATTACTAGTATTCTCATTCATCAATTTGTCAGAATACTTGCTATTTGTTTCCTTTGTAATATGAATTAAGAGCATTTTATAGATAGTTTATGCATCAGAATCACTGGCATCCTTAATTCTAACTCTTTGCAGTGAAATAGACAGTATGAGAAATGTGAACAATGCACCTACTTCAGCCTATGAAATATTTGGTGCTTTCTAGCTCCTATTTCAAAAGAAAAACTAATTACCCTTACGTCCATTTCTCAGAATATTGAAGGGGGGGGAGGTCTACAGATTAAGTGCTCAGGGAATCTTATTAATATGACACATTTCTTCCAAAAATGTAATTATGAAAAGTTAGAGGGAAAGGGACATATTTATACTCCCTACTCATTGCTTGGAGTTGATTTCTTTTCATAAAGATGAATCCAGGACAGCGAACTTTCTTTCCTAATAGTCTTTTCTTTCAAAGTATTCCAAAGATACCTACAGATCCTGTCAGTAAAAACTTTACTCCTGATAACGTCCATGCATTCTTACTGAATTTATATTGTGTAAGCACTTTCACACTTCACATTTGCTTAGGATAACCCTACAAAAGATGCATGGTATCATCACATCTATTTTGTTTTAACAAACCAGAAAGAAATAAACCTTAGGTCTCTCTTAGTTTGTGTAGTGGCAAGCCCCACTCTAGATCTGCACTAGCTAAAGCAGTAGCCCTTTGTGGAAACAAGTGGAAACTGAGCACTTACAACATGGCTAGTCTGAATTGAGATGATTGATGTAAATGTAAAAGACACATGGGATTTTGAGGACTTTGAAGGATAACAAAGAGAATGAAAACATTGCATTATGTTTATATTGATTACATGATGAAGTGATGTGTTTGAACATTTCCAGTAAAATCAAATTCATAACAAAGATGTCACTTTTTGTTTTAATACAGCTACTAGAAAATCTTAAATTTTGTGTGGCTGGCATTGCGTAGCTATGGAACCGAAATGTTCTGAGGGGATTGAAGGTCACAGAAGAGATCTTGCCTTGATTCTGTAGACAATACACTCATTAAAGATTCCAAGGCCGGGGGAACAGGAAGATGAGACTGGGCAGCGGCAAATAAGACACAGTGGGGAAAGGAGAATCTTAGGTTAGAAAAGGAGAAGTTAGGAGATTTGTCTAGTAATCCAGGCCTGAAGGAATCCAGAGCCTGAGTTAGGATGGGAATAAAGAGGAAGGGGTTAACTGAGTAACATTTTCAACCAACAGAATAGGACTTGGTGACAGACAGACCACGGGCCTGAAGGAGAGAAAGTAAAAGATATCACAAAGCTTCCAGCCTGCGAGGCCCAAAGGCTAGAGGTTCCGAACAGGGAGTTACCTCAGATGCATGGAATCCTAAAGGAAGAATTTATTACATTCACAGGTCAAGTTTAAAAGGCTTCCAGAGGTAAAAGGATAATGATGATGGTGATAAAGAATAATGAAAGGTGGTATTTATCGGTACCTTTATGCCAGGAACCCACAGAAGCTGAGCAGAGCACTTTCCATGTGACCTTCTCATCTGAGCCTCATGACGCAGATGCTGCTCTTATCTCCATCTACAGACAAGCGCTCTGAGGCTCAGAGAAGCCCAGCAAGTTTTTGTGGCTTAATGGCACTGACAGCTAGGATTTGAACTCAGGCGGTCTAATTTTAGACCCAAACAATTTAAACCACTCTACTAAAGGTTCTCCCATCTATCCCACATGTTC